TTAACCCTTGCAGCGCCGGCCTCCCTGCTCCGCATCCAGCCCGGCTCTCGGGGCGGGCCCTCAGGCTGGAGAGGAACCTCCCAAATGGGCTCTGGCAAGAATCGCCCCCGGGGAAGCAGCCTCGGGGAGGAAGCTAGGCTGGAAGCCAGGAGCCTGGTTCTACCCGGGGGATAGAGGAAGACTGGTGTGTAGTAGCTGGGGGGAGGCTGGGAGCCAGGATGCCTGGGTTCTCTACTGCTGACATTGGTCAAGTCTCTTCCCCATTCAGTGCCTCAGTTTCTCTTTCCATCCTGTGTCTTTTCATTCAGGCAGAGGCTTTTTTCCCCTGTGGGTCTGTGCAGCAATGGGGCCACAATCTCTGCCATGCACTGCACAGAGCCAGACCCACAGGGAGGCAGCCCCTGCCTTGAACTGCTTTCCCCTTTTTACATATGGGGGAAACTGAGGTGCAGGGATCCACCCATGGAATCTGCAGCAGAGATGGGATTTGAATCCAGGTGTGGTGCTGTAGGCCACCAACCCAAAAATCCTTCCCCTCTTAAGGGCAAGGTTATGCATAAAATACCCAGCAAATTACAGAGACTCCAGCATAGAAAGGGTTAACCCTGGAGTGCTCCAAAGCGGGAGAGGAGTATTGGGTTATTCTGCTCCCAGCAGCTCCACGGGGCTCAGAGGAGGTCAGGGTAGGCATGTGTCTGGCTATTGAAAGTGATTGGCATTGGGGAGAGGGGTCAGTGGGGCATGAAGCTGCCCTCCACCCCCAGGGATTGGAAGGGGTGTGTCTGTGTGTGTATAGAACTGAGACCAACAGTGACCCTCCTGCTCCTACACATACAAAGGGGAGAGGCACAAGGCAGCTGGGATCTTTTGCAATAATCCTTGGCAAAGTAGGTGGGCTGGTGGGGCAGTGTTGCCTCCCCCTCCCCCAGGCCCAATCCCCTTCTGTGGCATGAAGGACCAGGCATGCTGCATACCCAGTTGGCACAGGGAAGCATCTGTACAACAGGGAAGACCAACACACCTCTAGGGACAATAAATGGATATAGCGATCCTATCCTGTGTCCTAGAGTAGCCAGGGGCCACTTTTGCTCTAGGAAGACAGGATAGGATGCTATCAGAA